GCTACAAAGGGCATCAATGTCACAAGTGCAAGCGGTTTGGTCATAAGGAAACCCACTGTCGAGTTGCGCACAACTTTAGACGTTCATTTCCCTCGAGGTTGCGCACAAACATCAACTTCAGAAGGGCGAAATTTCATGGACCGGCCACAAAGGTAGTTCTCGCTGCATTTCGCACGGAATTCGCAGGCAAGAGAAAGTACTTAACAGTAAAAGTCAACGGTATTCCAGTCACCTTGCAACTAGATACGGCGTCCGACATCACAATCATTTCGCGATCCACTTGGAGGAAGCTTGGAAGACCGGCATTCAAGCGCACAACTCTAACGGCTCAGAATGCATCCGGGGAACCGCTGAGATTGGATGGAGAGATTGAATGTGAGGTCAACTTCAAGGAACTACATCTCCGCGGCACAATCTACCTAGTCTCATGCACCGACGTCAATCTTCTCGGAATCGACTGGATTGAAAAGCTGAACTTGTTTAATGTACCACTGAATCGTGTCTGTGCTGAAAGGAATGTCACGGTGCACCATACAGCCATACGGACTCCTCCGGGTCAAAGCATCTCTGAACAGCTTCAAACGAAGTATGCGTGTGTATTCCAGTCGGAACTTGGACACTGTAAAAAATGCAGGCAAAACTTACTCTGCTTCCAGATGCCAGACCTGTGTTTCGACCCAGACGTCCTGTCCCTTATGCTTCCCAAGCACTTGTTGAACAGGAACTTGATCGATTGCAACAGGCCGGAGTGATCGAGCGAGTCAATTTTTCACCGTGGGCTGCGCCTATTGTTGTGATCAGGAAACCGAACGGTTCTATTCGTTTGTGTGCTGATTTTTCAACGGGCCTGAATGCTGCACTGGAACCCCATCAGTATCCGCTTCCACTCCCTGAGGACGTGTTCGCAAAACTGAACGGAGGCAAGTATTTTGCTACTCTTGATCTTGCAGACGCCTATTTGCAGTTAGAAGTTGAACCCGAAAGCAGAAAGCTGCTAACAATCAACACACATCGCGGTCTCTACCAGTACAACCGTTTGCCATTTGGAGTCAAAACGGCACCGGCAATCTTTCAGCAAGTCATGGATGCCATGCTGACGGGTGTAACCGGAGCGGCAGCCTACCTGGATGACATCATAATAATGGGATCGACGCAAGATGAGCTATTTCAACGATTGGATGACGTGCTAAAAAGAATCAAAGATTACGGTTTCCGATTACGAGCGGACAAGTGCAAATTTTTCCTGAAGTCAATTAAATTCCTGGGTTTCGTAATTAACGAGAACGGCCGACGACCCGATCCCGAAAATATCGAGGTGATAGACCGGTTACCAGCGCCATCAGATGTCACAACTTTACGGTCATTCCTTGGGATGGTGAGTCACTATAGTGAATTTCTACCATGCATGCATCGCTTGCGGCATCCTCTAAACCATCTGCTGATGAAAGACGTCGAATGGAAATGGTCTGCACAATGTCAACAGTCGTTCGAGAAACTGAAATCTCTGCTGAAGTCGGACTTACTGCTTACGCATTATAACCCGAAGCTGGAGATTATTGTTGCCACGGATGCTTCAAGCTATGGAATTGGTGCTGTCATTTCACATCGTTTTCCAGATGGATCCGAAAAGGCCATAGCACATGTTGCACGGGCGCTGACGGCATCCGAAAAGAATTATAGTCAGATTGAGAAAGAGGCGTTGGCTATCATCTTTGTAGTGCAGAAATTCCATAAGATGGTATAGGGTCGACGGTTCACGTTGGTGACTGATCACAAACCGCTTCTGGCAATTTTTGGATCCAAAAAGGGGATTCCAGCATATACGGCCAGTCGACTTCAGCGATGGGCAACTCTGCTCTTGGGTTATGATTTCAGCATGCGATGCTTGTCTACGGATTCTATAGGGCAAGCGGACGCCCTTTCCAGATTAATCGATACCGGTAAGCGTGAGTCAGAAGACGCAGTCATTGCCTCCATCGCAGCCGAAACGGATGTCACCTACATGGTACATGACGCCGTGAGTAATTTACCGGTCACTGGCACAATGGTGAAGCAAGCCACTGAACAGGATGCATTGCTGCAAGAGGTATTAACCTACACAAGACGGGGCTGGCCAAAGAAGTGCCCGAAAGAAGCATTGACACAGTTTTTCACACGACGCAACTCTTTGTCTGAAGTTGATTCCTGCCTGTTTTTTGCAGATCGCATTGTCATTCCAGAAATACTCAGGTCACGCGTGTTACGGCAACTGCACAAGAGCCATCCAGGAATCGCTCGCATGAAGGCGCTTGCGCGCAGCTACGTTTTTTGGCCCATGATGGATAGCCAAATTGAAGATATTGGCCGATCGTGCTCCAGATGCATCAGTGCCTCCAAGTTACCGGTACGTTCTACATTACAAGCTTGGCCAAACCCTGAATCGCCCTGGTCGCGCATACACGTAGATTTCGCAGGACCAGTCGAAGGAGTGCATTTCCTCGTTATTATTGACGCCTACAGTAAATGGCCGGAGGTAATCACTATGCAAAACACGTCGGCCAACAGCACAATTATTGCGATGAGACATGTCTTCAGTCAGTACGGATTGCCAGTAACAGTCGTGTCAGATAACGGGGCACAGTTTACGTCCTGTCAATTTGCTGCATTTTGTGCACAGAATGGGATCGAGCATGTGAGGACGGCCCCGTATCATCCGCAGTCTAATGGCCAAGCGGAAAGATTTGTGGATACCCTGAAACGAGCATTGTGGAAGTCAAAAGAGGAGGGATCGTTGAACGAAAGATTGGAACGTTTCCTGTTGAACTACAGAGTTACCCCGAATCCTAATGCACCAGATGGCAAATCACCAGCTGAAGCACTTATGGGTCGAAGGTTGAGAACCACACTAGATTTGCTGACCCCCAAGCGCCCGTCTCTACAACTACGGAATTCAGTGATGGAGCGTCAGTACAACAGGCGGTATGGTGCCAGAAAAAGGCTTTTCAAAGTGGGCGATCTTGTGTTTGCAGCTGCGAATCAAGGACGGCAGATCGCATGGATACCAGGACGAGTCCTGCGGCGCCGAGGCAACGTGATGTATGATGTTCAAGTGGGTACACAGGTGTGGAGACGCCACGTAAATCAGTTGAGGCCACGTTATACACATGGTGCCGCCGTTTTGAAAGCCAACGGACTTGACGTCAATGAATTGCTGGACACCGACAAGCCTAGTACTCCTGCAGGTGGTGACGTTAGTTCAGTGGAATGCCGGGAAAATGGAGCTCGCCACAGGCCAAAGAGAACAAGAAGATTCGTGCAGCCCCTCCAAGTGGATCCGCGTCGAAAGACCTATGTGAACAACAGGTAACCCGTTTTTTCTAAAGAGAGGGAGGTATTAGGAGAACAGCTATTAGACTTTCATTTATTGTGACCGAGCTTGATAGCTAGTCTTTACTCTTCCTATTTTCTGTTTCTTGTCTGTTGTTTAAACGCTCTACTGGGTTCGCCCGATTGGTACATCCGCGTCATTGTTAATGGACGCTCCTTGTCATGCCTTTCTCAGCAGCGCTGTTTGCAAGAACATATTCTATTGGTTTTTTTCTTCTCATTACTGTTCTACTTGGTTATGTTAAAGGAATATTTAGTGTCACACAATTATTGTACTAGTTTTCAACTTTTGGGTCTGCATTCCTTTGTCGCGTTTGGTTCGTGACTTTTGTTTAAACGTTTCATTGCGTCATTCTGATTGGCCAGTGCCCGTCACTGTAAATGGTCGTTCGCTTTACGCTTGGAGTCCAATGATGCTATTTTTAGGGACTTACGCGATTCGCTCTTACATACACGGTTGCTTATTCGCCGTTGCATTTTTCGTTTTTCCTTCAGTTGGTTGGCTCAAGTGTACTTTAGTAGCTTCGCTTCATTTTGCCTTCAAACTATATAAGCAACTGTGATTTCATGTATACAAGTCTCCTTCTGGCTCGTCTTTGGACTTCTTCTTGCGGTCGTGGGGTGAAGGCATCAGCGGCGACACAACACGCTCCACGACGCGTTTTGTCCTTGTTTGGACTCATCAGTGATTTACAGTCATCGTAAGGAGAATTCCGAGTGACAAGTTTTTGCGGACCCGTCAAATATCCCCGCAAAAACGCGCCAGAAACGCCAGCATAATGGTTACGGGAAGCGGCGTCCAATTCCTCCCCCACAACGTAGCAGTGTCCCGCCACTGCGAGACGACGCACAACTGCGCACCAGTTGACAATGCTCTTTTACAAACCACCACCCCGTCATGGTAGCTATTTTCACCAACTTAGTGACCCGTAGCATTGGCTGTGATTCGCAGTTTGTTGGTCTTAAAAGAGCCTTCAGGGGACCACCACCTATCTTTTTTCCTCTTCGCCTTAGTTAGGAGTCGGTCGGTCACGTGTTTTTGTGTGCGTCGTTAGCCGGACAGCATTCGCGTCTAAGTCACAAGTGCGCGTCCGTTCCGAGGGCTCAGTGTCTAGGATCGTTCTCACGTTCGCTCAATTTCCGTCTCACCAACGCGTACCCCGGGCTAGACTAACGCCATCAGGTCAGCGCAAATCCGTTCCATTGGCCAGCGTTCCAATCCGTTATCACTGTAGGCGTGCTCCAGCCGTGCCAGTGACAATCTTACCAGACATCTACGCAATCCTGACACAAGTGAGCCTGGATGGCAGGTATTATCGAAGCCACCTCATGTGCCTGTAAAGGAAGCAGTTTTAGTGTCTGTGCCTTATACTTTCATGCTCGAATAATGTGCAGAGCAGATTAGACAATGAGAAGTCCGACTCCTCCAACGCCGTGACGCAGATTTTGACCATGCGATAACTTTTTAGCCGCAATACCTGGTTCAGTCATCGTGGGTGTACTGGCACCTTTTGTCGGGTTATTCATCTAAAATATAAACTCAAATAATGGGTGAGTAACAGGTATGTGACGGTTTGCCTGTTTGCTGACTTACTACTTTACCTACTGTTTGTTTGTTTGTTTGTATGACTCACTCGTTGACTGAAGCGGCCATTCGGAATCAAGTCACCACCGAACCGAATTTCAACCAGATAGTCCCCGCGAATGGGTGGAGTGTAGTAGATGTTCACGCGTCCGTTCGGTGCCTCCTGTATCTCCACATCCGCGGTTGCTCCAGACGGAGTGATGATGCGACAGGTCACCTGACCAACTCCAGCCTGAGATGTGTTCACAGTGATGACACAGTCTTGACCCACAGGGATACGGCTATCGTTACCACCTGATGGAAAAGAGAGGAGAGCAAGAAGAACTTAGGCGCTTAGCCGCCTAAAGGGATTTCTCGGCTTGATACATGATCACTGGTCATCTGTGGTTTGTCACAATGTTACGCAGGTAGCACCAGTATGCAGATATGGCGAAATAATTGATCCGAGTGCTTCCATCAGCAGAAACCAGTAGGTATGGACACTATGTGTCAAATCGCTGTGGGCCAAAAGCAGGTACACCTGTGCCAATAGTAAGTAGTATGGAAGTACCACGAAAACCATACGGTAAGGGATCAACAGCGGACTACGCCCAAGCCAAAACAGAAGAATAACGCTTGGGAGTAGCAGAGTTATGTGCACTCAGCAACTTGGGTTCTTAGTTGTGGACCTCAACGGGAACATACCAATCAACATGAACTCATTTATGTTGGCGGAATTGCTAAGAGAAATTCAGGAGTTCAGCTTTAAAGACCCTGTTTCAAGCGCGAGCTGCTTGTGCTTTCCCGCATGAGTTCCAGAGCTATCAGGCATTGAATTTTTACAACTATTCAGTTTGCGCTACAGCACAAGGTGGAGAGATCGTGAGAACACATTAAGGCTACCTTTCACGCGGTGTATTCTCTTATGCAGTGCTCTAAACATACGGGGAAGCTCGTCTGTGCGAAGCCACAATCGCCTCGCTGGAGTACTTTAACCAGTAGGTTCACTCAGTGGTCAACTACAGAGCTGCGAAAACTCGTCAAGTTAGCATGACAACCCAAGACGCTAAACGCATTAAGCAACATACTAACATATGCGGTAACTAAAGGAAGTAACTCCGTTCACGTTAGAGAGCGCAGCTGTGCCGGATTGCGTCCCAACATCAAGAGAAAACAGTTAAAAGTTGGTTGTGACTACCCGAAGTAAGTGTGGAATCTTGTGGAAGAAATCCGGCATATCAGTCAGTACATATAACGAGAAAATATTTGTGCATGACTCCCAAATATTGGGAACAGTATTCAAAACAGCCACCCGAACCTCAATGTGTTGCAAATCACAGCTCTGATGATATTGGACTGCAGAGTGGAAACTAATATATATATATATATATATATATATATATATATATATATATATATATATATATATATATATATATATATCGAAAGAAGGGGTTAGAGTATAGGTGCACAGAGACAACTGCATGATATATGTAAATTTTTTTAATAATATTCCCTTCCTTCCGTCAAAGCAGCAAGTTGATGCCCATTCTAACATGAAGTCATCTCACTTACCGTCATGCAAACCTGTGAGTTCCTTTCTCTCTTTACATTTGCTGCGCACTGCTAACTGTTATCTCTTCGTACCCAGGGAAGACAATTGAACTACTTGTGACAGTTCTTGAGGCTCTGCGAACTCCATCTTCCAGATCAATTACTCCACAACTCGATAGCCTAGAGTAGTTTGATCTATCTAAAAATCATTTGGAGAGCCGTTTTTTATCTTTTTTTCCATGTTAAACCAATGTACACCCTGAAACAGAATTTGTCGGATATATCCCACCCATTTGACAATATTTGTATTTCGCCACATCTATACTTCTCTTTTCTATTGTTGGCTACCATTGGGCCGATCTCCTAACGTAACGGGATTATTGAATACAATTACGTGGGGCGAATTCTCACAGACTCACTGACGAGAATACGTATGCCTACGCAAGGCAAATTGGGACAGACACATTGAGTAAAAAGTTGTCAGAAGCCGGAATGGGCTCAATGATCTATAATTGTCCAGAAATAAACTACATAGAGCTCATTTATCTTCTCCGCCCCTATGGATTGCGACGCCCGTACTCACTGTGAAGCGCGATTGGCATTGAAATGAACCCCGGTGGTAACTTATGAAGCAGGCAGAGACTAGGTGGAGTACAGTAGTTTTTAACTTGTTAGTCAGGGGGCTACAAAGCGCAATCAAACGGGTGTTTTACCAAACTCGCAGTCAATGGAGTTATACTTTTAATACGCGAACATCTCCGGTATTCTACATAAGTCTATGCTGAATCCATCAAAACGCTTTTCGCTGTAATCTACAAGCTTATTTTCGCAATAAGTTTCAGCCCACGGGACTTGTTAAGCATCGTCTTTTAACGCGTAATACACCATTGTTCCATTGTTCCTAACAGGCAACAGAACCCCCACCTTAATTGTTTGTGGGCAAGGATTGGAAAGTTTGTTGTTGTTGTTGTTGTCGTCGTCCTCGTCCTCGTCGTCGTCGTTGCTGTTGTTCTTGTTGTTGTTTCTAATCCATTGGTGCAAGTCCGCGTAGCTGCTGGTGTCATAACTACGCAGTATCAGTGTCGCTCGATTCAATCGAAGCCTCACAACTGCGCAAAATTGCGGTTCGTCGCCTAAGAACTAAGCACCAGTGGTCAGGGTAATCTACGCACGGCGTGACTCGTTTATAATGAGGCCAATTGTGTGAATGCATTGGGACCGCATCAGGCTTTGAAAAACCCCTCGACCGTTCCGATCGCTATCAACGGTGCACCTCAGGATCAGATACCTAGGTGCAACACAGCCCTAAACGATAGTTCCCATTGCAGTACAAATACGTGGTGCGCATTTCAAGCAAGGAGATCAGGGTACGCACTGGCTTGTAGTAAGCGCTGTCTAAATCGTCTTATTCCCCTATACCCAATGACCCAAGTTGTGAGCTCACAACGGGTAATGGAGCAATCAACATGTTTGTGTCACGTCTCAGACGACCAAAGTTAGCATAATCCTCGTGGCAGAAGTCCAACTACAGCTGCTGGCGCACTAAACATTAACTGGAAGCACCACGTTTTTCATCCCAGTAGAAAGTCACGAGGAGTGGGCCTTGTAAGTTCAAGCTATAACGTGAGAATTCGGGACATGATTCAATAATGATAACGAAGAGTTGCACAGGAAACGCAAACGCATCTGATTAGCAGCTAGCGACCGACGTGCTTCACCAATAAGACTGCCAGTAAGTGAGACAATGAACTCGGTGAGAACGCAAGCCGAGCAGGCCGATGCTTCTGTGGCTTTACATACACCATTCATAGCGGTATGAGATAATGAATTGGGTCGCAAAATTCCCACAATCGCTCTTGTCACCACTTAGTGCAGAGGTGCGGAAACGACCAAAGTGGTAGGTAGGAGAGTGTGCAGTTTATCTTTGGTTGTTCTGGGATGGAAGGCAAATATCCATTTAACCAAAAATCGTTGCACCACTCGAAACTCACTTTCGATACGGCAGAGATCCGCACGTCCTGAGGGCGCCACTGGGACGAGGAATGGACTTTCGGGGATTTCCTGACCACCGAATTTCACTCTCACCGTATGCCGACCAACAATCAATGGTCTGTAGTGACAGGTGTAGACTCCATCCCCGTGGTCGGCCACTTCCAACTGCAACGGTTGACCCTCAGAATCCTTGGAAAGGTCAGATGTAGTGCTTAAAAACCAAGTCACTGTGCTCACAACAAGTAAAATCACAACATAAACACAACTAGTATACAACATCAATCGGAATAATGTTGGTAACTGGCCCTTCGTTGAAGCACTGAGGAATCAGTGATATGCAAACAATGTGAGATAAGAGACATCGAGATCTCTGCTGCGAGACAGAAGACCTGGTGTGCATGTGAAAAAGACAAAACAACGAACCGAAAGGTTGTGTGTATTAAAAGTAGTGTAGTGACGACATGGAAACTAATTTAGGGTAATGCATTTGGATTTAAAGCCAACATGTTTACAGTGATATGCACTGTTGATGGCAACTGCTCGGGTTGAGCCAGCACTACAAAATTTGTGTAATCCTCATGTGAAGTATAGACGTGCACTAAAGTAGATTGGCTCGATATGATTTGTGCACAGCTGTTTCAAGAAAGTCCCTGATTCAAAGAAATGCAGATTGTAAGTCTGTCACCACTCCGTGTGTCACGAACTCACCCGAGCACACAAACTCAGTGACCATCTACAAAATGAGCGAACCCAAGCATCTCATTCAGATGAAAAGCCAGCGGTCATTCGCCCTGGTAGGTGGGTGATGGGAAGAGACTCGTTAATTAATGATTGTTGTGATTGTTGGTTAAAAAAGATAGCCCCTTTTAGTCTAAAATTTTTTACAGGATGGTGAACACGCTTAGGTACATTTGGTGCTTGATCATGCCAGATGTTGTTTACAGGTTGAAAAATAATACGTACGAATCCTCGGGAATTCGAAGGAGGCGCGAGCTACTAACTTGTATCCCCATAGGAAAGAGGAGATTAAAAGGCTTTTCCCAACATACAGATTGTGTCGGTAGTACAACATCTGACTGTAACTGAACGCACTCCGGATAGGAAGCAAGAACATCACCGTGAGGGACGAGGTGTATTGAAAATCTGTCAAAGCTGAGCAACCGGGACGCAAAAGATCAATAGGGCAACCACATGAAAGGACATCGTCATGATTGGTGAGCGGTCTAGCTCTGAACGACTGTCGTGCATGTGTCCAACACAATCACGTGACGAGCTGTGAGCGACTGTGAAGCGCAGGCCCGTCTAACATTCGGAAAGTTCCAGATATGTTCCAAACCCAAACTTCCCACGAAGAGATTTCCCTTCAAATAATCCCTCTGAATTCTAATGCACTTTCCCGTCCTTCTCTGCCCTGCTTGCATTCACTCCTGGAAGGATTCTTCTTCCAAAATCCTCTGCAGTTCTGCTGTCACGGCCATTTTGATGTCGCCCAGGTCTTTTAAACCGGTCCCCTTTATGATTTGTTTGAGCTTTCGGAAGAGGATAAGCTCATGCGAAGTGAGGTCGAGTGAGTGAGGAGGTTGCTGCAGCACAACGACGATCTTGTCGATCAGGAACTGTCTGATGCTTAAGGTTCTGTGAGCAGGCGCGTTGTCATGTTGAAGCAGCCACTAGTTGTGCTGCCACAACTCTCGTCTCTTCTCACGGTCTGGTCGAGGAAAACACCGCAATCTCTTCGTAGACACGTTGATTAATCCTCTGACCCTGTGGCAACGTTTATAAAACGAGACTCACTGAAGCTTGCTTCGCGTGAGTTTTTCCTCTTCCTCGAGCTCAAGGAAATCAGTAAGCGGATCCATTTTGAAGATGTGGATGACATAAAAATGGCCGTGAACACAGAACTGCCGAGGATCCTGGAGGAATCCTTCTAGGAGTGCATGCAAGCAGGGTAGAGGACGGGAAAGTGCATTAGACTCCAGGGGGAGTACTTTGAAGGGGAAAACTCTTTGTGTAAAGTTGGGTTTGAAATAATGCACTTTCGACAGCAGTCTAGGATTTTTCTGACACACCTCGGACGATGGCTGTTTGACAGAGGACGCTTTCAACGGAAATTTTCGAACTGCTTCTAAAATCCTTAACAGCTTCTAAAGTGGGAATTCCGAGTAAGTAACTTGAATGGACGACCATCTGCTTCGTTCAGCCGTTCTTCAGCGCATCCTCAGGTCCACTTGAACAAAAGCTTCGACTATCTAGGTCATGCGATTGTTGGACGAAGACGGTGAGTACTTAGGTTAGGATAATGGTCGGCGATCACCATGAACGGCAAACATAGGCGAGGAGGTTTGTCGGCCTGACTGGCAAATCTCTGAATCAATGGAAAAACAGGAGAACATTCTACACTAGTCATTTGAAGGTTACTTCGGCCAATAAGGAGTCAGCAAATATCCCCCCACGCACGTCCGGAGGCAAAACTATGGCAATTTCTTACAGACCCATTCAGGTCCAGCGGTGTGTGTCAACCCCAAGGTTTGCTTTTGAAGCCACGTCTGTCTGTAGTGTTTAATAGTGATAAAGCGAGGGTCATAACCACAAAGTGTTGATTTGATGACAACGACATCAAGGCTCGGCGGACGGTACAAACTCCAGATGAGCACACGAGCTCGAAATCAAGCTCGACAAGATACATAGATGAGTAATCCGAGAGTTTCTTTACTTCAACGTAGTGAAATGTATAATGGACCACTTACGACATGAGTTGTTCACGCTTATAAACTTGGAGGCTAGAATAATCAGAAATCTTTTCGCATAATCTACCTGGGTGCGCCGGTTCATGAGTCCTCCATTGGCGGTAACAATCGGCGAAGAGGAATGAGCATTTGGATGCTTCGACTTGTCGAGTCTCCAACACTTGGTGGAATAAACAATCCAAACAGGTCAGGCATAGTGAAAGCGTTTTGTGAAAACGGCGAGGTCTAGCAACCAAATACATTAAATCTTCGTATCACTTACCCTACTAACAGAGACCGAGAGTCTTAGGGGTTCGACGGATAGGTCGCCGTCTTCTTGATGACCCTCTCATTGTATCCCAGATCTCAAGTGAAGCTAGGCACACTTGTCCCTATGTGTTGAAGCTCAGTCACAGTAACGAGATGAGGTGCAGTCACCTCATACTGAAAGCACAATACACCCAATTGGAACATTTCTTCTCTACACCTTTGTCATGCCTGAAATGCCTCTCTCTGGGATCTCTCATTCTGCTTCCACAGTAGGCGAACGCACAGACCGTATCAATAGTGCGCTGAATTTCTGACACTCTACCTCCCATAACCCACATGAACAGATTGAAAACCAAAGAGTAAACACTTCCATTTGTAATATTAGGAGGCGCCTGCGAAGTATGTCAGCATTATATGAATAATTCTGCCGATCAACATCTGATCAGTAAGTTCACAATTAGCAGTCATTGTTGTTTTCTTTTTGCAAATCTCCAATCAACCATCCCGATGGATCTGCAATCATTGGGTATTTATCTGGCATGCAAGACTGAACTACCGAGGCGGTGAAATTTGTCAACGGATCAGCTCAATATGATGAACTGGGTCAACGAGAAACTCAGATGCTGACCTCTATCACTAAGTAAATAAAAAAGACGGACTGACAGAAGCAAACTGCTTCAATGGAACCCACACTGGTGTAGATCTACGTACTACGAACGAAACGTTTGTTGGCGAATCAAACGCTTCAAAATATGACACAGTATCGACAGATCCAAGTATTCTGGAGGCGGGAATGGGCAGCCCGAGTACCAGTGGGTACGTATTCGATCTTTAACACTGCTAGGGTATAAACTGTGAAGGCCCATCGTGGATGTGTGTGTGCGTGTGCGTGGGGGTGTGGGGGCCTGATGACATCATACAACCTCATCGAGAAGGTCAGCACTAATGAGTTACTCCCGTAAGTGTTTCAAGTGCCCCATAGGGATGTGTCACCAGCCAGATTCTTGGAGGACAGTTGGATGCTCCGAAACCGGCTTGCGTCGCCGCAGTGTACATTGTGTCCACAATCTGACTACGCGGAGGAATGAGATGCCTCGCACCAGCATGCCTCCCGTTGTACCCTCGACGATCTACAGTGGGCAGTAACAAAGAATTAAATTGCGGATCAGAGGTAACCGTCTGTTCTGCCATAGGTCTGTGTCCATCTGCATTCGGAGTACCACGGCAATGCGAAGACGGGTGGCTGCAGATCATGAAATATGCAATTAGCCAGGCCAAACGATAAACTGAAGCGTGCGCTGCCCATCATGTCATAAACAATTGAGGAATCAAAAGTAATTCATTGTTCATAGTCAACTATGACACTTCGTATATAAATAAGTGAAAACTAAATACAACCGATGCAATGAAAGCGCATAAAGACAAGCACCAGATGGCCGCTGCACCGTTTCGGAGATTATTAACGGCATACGCTCCGGTGATTCGTTGACGACTGAGAGCATGGCCCTACATTCTTGCGCTACCGTGGTGGTCGAAACCACTGGGCAGCGTAGAAAGCCGGCACCCGATATGAATAAGCAGCAGGTTGGTTAGATGCCAGTAGTTTGAAGGATAAAGGAGTGCGGCAACTTCCTCACTTTGGAGCACGACGTGTTGGTTAGTTCGGAAGTATTAAACAACCTCTCAACCCCACAAAATACCACAAATAACACGAGAACGAACCCTGAGACAATGAAGAGACCGCCCAACCGCTTTTAAGTTGTTTTCAGTAAATTGACCGTTGTGGCTAATGACAAATGCTGGCTAATTATTATCAATGACGCGCAAACAGAGAATTACACAAGACCTGCCAGTATGCGTAAACCTGTCTTGCTCCGAAGGTAAAAACAAGATGTATTTAAGTGAAGGAAGAATTTCATCACCGAAGCGAACCAGATCATGAAATACATGAGCTGAACCTTTGAAATAACTCGGAAACAAACGCAATTTCAGCCTGATGTTAAAAAGGAAAGTTCTGCTCGTTGCGGCTGCTTCAGTAAATGTGTAAAGCGGGATAGAAAAACATCACACTAATCCGTTGCAGGTAAAATAATCTTACATACATCTGACAGAGTGAAGGAACTGTGTACACAATTTCGTCGGATGGGAAATCTCAATAGTGATAATGAAGTACCGCTATGGCCACACGAACCA